ATAATAAACTCTGCTCTATGGCCAGATTCAACTTGCTTCTAAGAGCTGACAACACTTGTATATGATATATCAGTGTGAACTTGTTTATATTACAACTGATGTGAGTACACCTGATCTTTGACATCAAAGGTTAGGACAACTTATATAAGAAAAGAGCTTATTAAAGCTTCTTACAAAAGAAATTTGATTATAAGATTTAAGAAAGTATTAGAATTATTTCATATGAATTTGACGGGTCTGATGGTTAACTTTAGACCTTATTAATTACGTTAATTCTATTACTTTTCATTGAATAAAAACAAAAGTAAGGGTATTATTGTAATTTAACTTTTTGACAGTAAGGTTAATGGAACATAGTTAGGAAAGTGTCAATGATATAGTTTTAAGATTAAGAGGGGTATCTCTGATTAAAGATGGGATCTAAATTTTGAAAACGGAAATCTAAGGGTACTTTATATGATGTCGCTGGTATTAATCCTTTTCCAGCAATACCCAAATGAGATATTATCGTAAACTATCCTGAAGGTTTAGCCTTTGTTTGTTTCACTTTTTAGAATCATTTTTCTATTATCTTATTTGGATTAAAAAACAAAATATGTGTTTCACGGCCAGATCTTGATGTTTCTAAAACAGCTTTAACGGCATACGATCGGTTAGATTCGGCCGATCGTGCTTCATTCCATCGTCGTCAATAGTGGTGGCTAGATTCGGCCACCACCCTTGGGTAATATTTTTAAAGTCCAAAGATATTTATGTCCTAAAAAATTTGTATATAAGGATAAAATACACTCTTAGGGTGTGTTTAATTGGGAGTAATCTCCCTTTATTAATGTGATGTCATCTTATATTACTTGATTACCACATTTGGTTGTCAAGTAATATAAGATTCCAGTAATTTTTCAAAACCAATAATAATTATTGCTGGTAATTTAGGAGATAATCTGATTACCTCCATTTTCTTAGGTATTTTAAGATTAATTAGTAATCTTATTTTTGTTACAATTTTAACCTTAACTATTAACATTTTTGGACAATAATGCCCTCAATTTGAAAACAATTACAAATATATTCATGACTATTTTATCCTCATATACAAAATTTTTAGGACATAAGTACCCCTATACTTTAAAAAAATTACCTAGCCACCACCAACAATCACCAACCGTTGACCACCACCGCTGGCGACTACCGGCAGGCGTCAGAAAGGCGCATGACTGGCTAGAAATGGCCAGTTGTGAGTCGATCTAGCCAAATACGGCTAGATCTATTATGCCTTTTTTGGCTAGATCTGTGACTTCTGGTTGCCATTAACGGCTAGATGGCCAGATTATGGCTGTCAACAGCTAAAACTAACAGTCAAAGTTCTGGTTGTCAATGGCCAGAACTCTAACCTTTAACTACGACTAAAACTTTGGTTGTTAATGATGACCAGTTCTGGCCATAAATCTAGCCATTTTCGGCTCAATCCAACTAGTCATGTGCCGTTACGGCCATTGCTGGAGGTCGTTGGCGCTGTTGGCTGGCTACCGACAGTGGCTTGGGGTGGATAAAGGTGTTTTTGCTAAGTTTTAAACTTTTTTGTTTGCTAGGGTGTTTTAGCAAAATTTTAAATGTAGGGGGTTAAATGGAATGATTAAAATAATAATAATAAATATAATTTATATTAATATTTAAAAAAAGAGGGTGATTTAGTAAATTATATAACTTACCCACCAATTTATTTCTCTCAACCAAACATATTAATATAATACACCTACCAATTTATTCGAATCAACCAAACATATTTTCCTAAACATTTCCAGTAATCTTTTAGGTATTCTAACTTTCCTTTAATATAACATTTTGGGGCATTTGGATTATATAATGTTTTATTATAGGGGAATATTATATTAACGGAAAGAAGATCACCTTGAAGATTACTGTGAATGTTTAGAAAATGTGTTTGGTTGGTTTGAATAAATTAGTGAATAATATGTCTGGTTGGGAGGATAAATGAGTGAGTATGTTATATAGATTACTAAATTGTCATCCATTTTAAATATTAATATAATATTATTTGTTGAATAACTTTTAACCCCCTACTTTTGAAATTTTGCTAAAATACCCTAGCTATATAAAACTTTAACTGTAGCAAAATCACCCCCACCCACCCCAACCAACTGCTAGAAGTTGACGGAATGATGCATGATTGACCGTATATGGCTGGTCGTGTGCCGACAAAGCCGAAAATGATCATGGATCACAAATCCATAGCCAAAAAACAGCCAGATCTATGGCCATTTCACGGCCAAAGATGTGGCCATGAAACGGCCACAAATATGGTCGTGAAAAGGCCGTATCTTTGGTCGTGCCATTTCACAGCTAAAGATATGGCCTTTTCACGACCATATCTTTGGCCGTGAAATGACCATAAATCAAATCTGGCCATTTTCGATGCACGATCGGTCAGATCTCATTGCTCGTGCACCATTATGGCAATTGACGTCGGTGGCGGGTGATGGTGAGTCACAGCCAACGGTGGTCTTGGCTGGTTGGGGGTATTTTGTTAACTTTTAAACTTTTTTGTGGCTATGATGTTTTAGCTAATTTATCAAATGTAGAGGGGCTGGGCTAATTGTTATTTGGTAGACATTTGAGTGCAACTGTGTCCGAAATGATTTTTAATCAAGGGCAAAATGGGTAGAAAAATCAGGGGTGCGTTTGGCTTATTATTTCTGCCCATATTCCCAATCCTATTCTCCAAATAATGTTTGGCACATTATTCCAGAAATATTACCCTATTTTTTAATTACTTTTAGACCCCATAAGGTTATTAATTTCATTAAATACCCCCTGAAAAAAGTTTAAAAATTAACAAAAACACCCCCATGACCCATACTTGTCAGATTCCGACAACCACCATCAATGGTAGCTGGAATCTGCCACAACGGTGAATTACCGACCAGAACTGGCCGGTAATTCACCGATCTGGCTTTTTCCAACCAGATCCACAGTGGATCTGGCCGTCAGCGATGGCCAAAGAAATGGTTGTCGTTGACGGTCAACGACGACCATATCTTTGGCCGTTGTTTTGACCTTTTTCGGCCATCAATGGCCATAGCAGGCAGTAGATCTGGCTGGAAAAGGCTATAACGACGCGTTACGACACAGATCCAACTGGTTTGTGTCGTAACGCTATTTTCCAACTAGATTCCGGCGATGGCGACCGAAATTTGGCACTACGAGTGGTGGGGGTATTTTTGTCATTTTATATGTTGGGGTGTTTAATTAAATTAGTAAACCTAGGGGTTTTTTTATAAATTTTTTAATTTTACCTCGCAATACTCCCCTATTCAACTACCCAATATTATTCCCAAAATCCTATCCAAAATAATAAACCAAACGCACCCCAGATTACTTTGGTAGTGTTTTAATAACACCCCCTAGCAATGTACTAAGATTACCCCTTACATTACCCCCCACATTACCAATGGTAAACACTATTTGCAATAAAAGATTACCGTAATATTTTATTACTTGCAAACCAAGCACCGGAATCTTGCAAAATAAACGAAGATTACCCCCGTTATCTTATATACCTTTGATACAAACGACCCGTTTCAGTAATACAATATTCTTTGAACCAAAAGCACCCTAATAGTTTTATATCCAAAAGATGATTTTACCACTTTTTATCAAAGTTACCCCTTACACTTTAAAAAACATATCCCTTAGTGGGCATTTGGATCGTATAATGTTTTATTATAAAAAAATGTTATATTAACGAAAAGATAGATCACTTAGAAGATTATTGGAGATGGTTTAAAAACATGTTTGGTTAGTTTGAATAAATTGATAAATAATATGTTTGGTTGAGAGGATAAATATGTGGATATGTTATATAGATTACTAAATTGCCCTTCTTTTAAAATATTAATATAATATTATTTTTTGAATGATTTCTTTTAACCCCTTACATTTGAAATTTTGCTAAAACACCCTAGTTATATAAAACTTTAATTTGTAGCAAAATCATCCCCACCCACCCCAAGAGCCAGCCACCACCACTAGCCTTATCGACATTTGATGGAATGGCGCACGATTGGCCATATATGGCTGACCGTGCTCCAGCAAAGCCATTTCCGATCATAAATCACAAATCCATGGCCGTTTCACTGCCAGATTTGTGGCCATTTCACGACCAAAGATGTGGTCGTGAAATGACCATAGAAACGGCCAAATCTTATAGGTCGTGCACCATTATGGTGACTGATGCCTGCGGATGGCGACGGTGAGTAACGGCCAAATGTGGTCTTGGTTGGCTAGGGGTATTTTGTTAATTTTTAAACTTTTTTATGGTTGGGGTGTTTTAACTAATTTATCAAATGTAGGGGGGTTGGGTAATTGTTATTTGGTAGATATTTAAGAGCAATTGTGTCCAAAACAGTATTTAATTAAGGGCAAAATAGGTATAAAAATCAGATTACTCGGTAATGTTTTAATCCTAGGGGTGGTGGAGGGTATCAGATTACCCTCTATATTACCAATAGTAAACATTATTTGTAATAAAAGATTTCTACAATAGTTTATTACTTGCACACCAAATACCATAATCTTGTAAAATAAACGAAGATTACCCCCATTATCTTATATGCTACGGATCCAAACGCATCCTTATTTCCTACTACACCTCTCACCTATCTCCTTTACTTGGGCTTCAAATACAAAAGGGTTAAAATGGTAAGTTCATTACATATCGCTGTCTCTTGTTTCACGCCTCAAAGTTTTTATCACTTGTCAGTTGTACCGCATTCCCACCCCAAATTCACCGGTTCTGCCACTCACAGCGCGCTGCAGCAACCATTCCTGTCCATTCTCCTCCATCCTCACTGATTCAGCCACCGTTTCACCCCACCCAATAGGCACGTTTACAGAAACTATATCAGTACCCAATCCTTGCTTTTCAATTTCTAATCCCTTACTTCTGTTTTTCATTCAGCGCAGTCCACCCTCACCCATACCAATTCAACAGCCACCCGTACCACCATTGTTACAACCATTGTTTGGGTTCGGTGATCTGTGGTTTTGGAGATTTTATGGGTTTTGGTGTACTACTTTGCTTTCATTTCATTGCAGGAATTTGATCCGTTAAAGATTATCATTACCAAGGTCTCTGATGGCTTTGACTGTGAACTCTACAATAAAATGACATCAACTGCATTCTGGGTCGGTCTCAAGGCTTCTTGCATTTAGTTTGTTGTGAAAATGTAAGATGAGTATGCTATATGCCTATATCGTTGTTGGGTACATTATAGAAATTGTGCTGTTGGGTGGATTAGGATTTGTTTTTGATTTTGGGATTCTTCTGTTTCTCTGGATTTAACTTGGAAGCATTGTATTTTGTAATATTTTTTAGTTTGTTGTTATGGCTCGGTGGTGTAGATAATAATGGTGCATCCTCTACCCGGTAAGAGATGAAGAATTTGAGAGACATGACTTATGAGATGGGTGCCTGCTTTTGTTTTCTTCTGCATTTGGTGGACCTGGTGGTGGTGTCTTGGTAGCGGTGGTGGGGCAGGCAGTAAGTGTTGTCACAGGGGTAGGTTTTTTATTTTATATTATTAATTTAATTTTTAATTTTTAATCTTATTGAATAATTTAAAAAAAACATTTAAGGGTGTTCAATATTTCTACTTATATTCCCAATTTTATTCCCTAAATATTGTTTGGCACATTATTTCAGAAATATTAATGTATTTTTTTAATTACTTTTAGACCCTATTAAGTTTATTAATTTCACTAAATACCCTTACAAAAAAAAAGTTTAAACATCCCTACCCACTTATACTTACTCGATTCCGGCAACCACCATCGGTGGTAGCTGGAATATGTCACAACGGCTTACACCACGATCAAAACTGATCGGTTATTCACCGATTTGGCATTTTTCAGCCATATCTACAGTGGATCTGATCGAAAAATGTCAATCTGGCCGTCAGCGATTGCCAAAGAAATAGCCGTCGTTGATGGTCAACGATGGCCAAGATACGGCCAAATCTTGGCTATTGTTATGGACCTTTGTGGCCATCGACAACTACATTTGGTCGTAGATCTAGCATTTTCCAATCAGATTCGTGGTGGATCTGGCCGGAAAAGACCATATCGATGCGTTATGACACAGATCTGACCGGTCTGTATCATAATGCAATTTTCTGACTAGATTCTGGAGTGGTGGTCGGAATCTGGCACTGTGGGTGGTGGGGGTGTTTTTGTTATTTTATATATTGGGGTGTTTAATTAAATTAGCAAACCTAGGAGTTTTTTTAAAATTTTTAAATTTTACCTCGTAATACTCCCTTATTCAACTACCTAATATTATTCCCAAAATCTTATCCAAAATAATAAACCAAACGCATATTAAGTAATGCGGGGTATAATAGTACTTTACTCTACACTGATTGAGTTTACATTGCCTCACTCTACTCTCCACATAATCACTATGTCAAAATTTTCACGTTCCCTAATAAACATTTTATTCCATTTGAGGTCCTCTGTCTAATAAAACGCAAAAATGTAAGGTTGGTTATGAGAATATATTTGTGATTTGACACATCTAGGCGGGAAACAAAAAAACCCCAGCCCAAAAACCAGAACAGCATCCTCCAAATTTCAGTTTCAGAAATTCTTTTATCGTCAACAAAGCTTTCGAGGTACCTGCGTTGTCTTTTCAATCTCCATTTGTATGTGTGTTTTTGTGTTTAGAACTTACTGTTCTGAATTTTTGACAGACATTCAAGGCGCCATTTCCACTATTAATTCTCATATACTCAAATGGAGAGAATATATGTGACGGTTAGGGCAAGGCCACTGTCTACCGAGGACGCAAAGACAAGTCCGTGGAGAGTCTCTGGACATTCCATTTTTATTCCTAACAATCCCTCAAAGTTTGAATTCGGTACTTCAAATATATCGGTGGATTAAAAATTTTACTTTTCTACTATATTTTTCTATATTTATTTTTGTTTCTACTTCGGTGTCATAGACAGGATTTTTGGAGAAGATTGTAAAACTTTAGATGTTTATCAAGCTCGTACCAAAGATATTGTGGCTGCCGCAGTTCATGGCTTCAATGGTACGCTTCACTTCAGTTGTTTATTTATTTTGATAGGTTTATCTTGTTAAACTTGTCTTTTTCTACTTCGATGTTTGAAAATATATGAATTAGAGATAAAAATAGATTTTGTTTTTCTGCTTTATAAAACAACTTAAGAGTAGCCTTGATGCCCTTACAAGATTTTACCGTGACAAAGCCCTATACAACTGTAACAAAGCCACATTCCACCTCCATTGTTGATGTGAAGTAACGTAAGGGTTTAAGGCTTGACCATTTTTGTCAAGGATTTGGACCGAAATCTTGACAATTTCCAATTAAGGTTTTAATAATTTAAAAAATTTTGAGATTGTGGTGTTGATTGCAATATTCTGTGGATATTTTTAGTACGTGGCTATTATTGAAGAAATGCTATGGATATAAGACATGTTAAGTATTGAGCCGTTGTGTCAAGGGATCTTAACAATTAAGACCTTAAGACCTTAACCTTAGATTATCTTGACTTTAAGCTCAAGAGTAATTTATCAAAATGAATCAATGGGTAATCACAACGTTTGATAGGGGGAAAGGTTTATTTGTCCAAAGATTTGCACCCCTAGTTTGAATCTAGACTTTGAAACCATCTATAAACTAATTAATAATCCTTTTTGCCATCACTGTGTTCTTTCCTTAAAACCATTTCTTATTAAGTTCTTACTTTCTTTGATTGCAATATGGATGTCTTCTTGCTTGCTTCCTCTAGGCACGGTTTTTGCTTATGGACAAACCAACAGTGGAAAAACATATACAATGCGAGGCTCATCCAATGAACCTGGGGTCATCCCTCTTGCTGTGCATGATTTGTTTAACATCATACAAGAGGTAGTTACTGTGACACTTTTTCTAGCAGTGACGTTTTTTTTTTTTTTTTTAATTCTACTTTTCTTGCTTTCTTACTTTTTCACTATGGTATATATCTTTGTCTTCTTTGGGTGTGAGTAGGAATCAAATAAGAAATTTCTCTTGAGTGGGTGCAAATTGCTTTTGGAAGCATCTATAACAAAGTTGAAATAATAAATATCACATCTAAGTGAGTTTAATATTTTAGATTGGATGGAAAAAGGACTACGGTTCTGTCAGTTTGATGAATGTGATCTTAATCTATCATCTTAAAGGGTCATACTTTCTGTTAGATGTTCAAGTTTAACTTGAATGCTACTAAGTGCTGCCTGCTGGGTGTTGGGGCTATTAAATTTAGTGCATATGCACTGATTATATCTGTCAGTGAGGCATGCCAGGGTCTTTCTCAGTCTGGGTTATAAATGGCTCCCTTGGTGTCCAAAGAAGGCAGCTTGAGGTTCAGTTAGCTAGCTCTGACTACACTGATTGGATGTAGAAGGTGTCATCTTGGATCAGAAGGTTTTAGAATTTTGACTTTTTTAAAAAGACTGAATGAACCAGTGAACTTTGTAGCTCTGGTTGAGCCAGTTCCACTCAATCATTTTAGGTTGAGATTTTGCAGTGACCTTCTTTTGGGATGATTCCAGTGAACTTGATTTCTTCAGCTCCAACTTAGACTTCATAATCCTTTCTGATAATTATGAAGCATTAAAATTTGTCTCGTCTCAAGGGGCCTTAGGCAGGTTATGTTTTCTCACTAACCCAATTCATATAGAGTATATAGAGATTAGATTGAGCAGTTAAGTTTTGGAGCTGTTTAATTATACTTGAATATTCCAGGTAGTTCCTCGTTTTGTGAAAAGCTTGTTCACTTACTGTACATTCATTTTTCCATTAATACATCTCTCTTGATTCTTGTAAAAAAATTGTTTCAAAGAACAGTTTTTGCTTAAAATTGTTGAACTTTGTGTGTACTGATGTGTTTGATTCTTCTTTTATTTCAGAAAGTGGATCGGGAGTTCCTTCTGCGGATGTCTTATATGGAGATCTATAATGAGGACATAAATGATTTATTAGCTCCTGAGCACCGAAAACTGCAGATTCACGAAAGTCTGGAGGTACAGAAATTTCTAATTAGTGGTACCTATGCATTATTTTGTCAATGCTTTACAAAACAAATTTATTCTGTTTGCCTTATTATTTGCAGCGGGGGATTTATGTTGCTGGTTTGCGAGAAGAAATTGTTGCTTCTCCTCAGCAAGTTCTTGGTCTGATGGAGTTTGGAGAATGTATTTTATACATTTGCCTTCTTTTTTATATTTCCAAAGAATCATGTCATTCACTTTCTACATGTTCACTATGTGATTTTTCTGTTTCTCTGCATGTATAATTTTTAATAATATGTAAATGGTGCCAAATAGAAATGGTGCTATGTTTCAACTTTTAACCATTTTTCAAATAGAAATGGTGCTATATTTAAGAGGGTAAAATTTCTCTTCTGCACCGTAACCATTTCTTCCTCTTGTTTATTTGTCTACTGCTAAATATATCAGGCTATGAATCTCTCTCTTCTTTTTTTTTTTTTTTTATTCAAAATTACAGCTCATAGGCATATTGGAGAGACGAATATGAATGTATACAGTAGTCGATCGCACACCATTTTCCGCATGGTAATATATTCATTTATTCTCTGATGTTATATGCTATATGTTTATATACATTCCATCTGTCTTACTGCTTTAGTTTTGTAGATAATTGAGAGTCGAGACAAAACAGAAGATAACAATATTAGCAATTCTTGTGATGCTGTTCGTGTATCAGTTTTGGTTAGTCTTCTTAAAATTCTATCAATATTTTTGTTTCTTTCCTACACCATTATATTGAATACTTTTTGGCTTTGTTAAGATTTATTTGAACATGCCATTGATCACCATATCTCTCTTCTATTTTCACTATTTTCCGTATTTTTTTTTAATATTTCTCTTTTCTCTGTTTCTAGAATTTAGTGGATCTTGCTGGATCAGAGCGTGCTGCAAAAACAGGTGCAGAAGGTGTTCGGCTCAAAGAGGGTTCCCACATTAATAAAAGCCTGATGACACTTGGAACTGTAATTAAAAAACTGAGTGAAGGGGCTGAAAGCCAAGGGTAAGCTCTAAAAATTTTACGAATATATCTTAAGTTTTCTTTTCCAGGACATTATTGACATTATTCAACACTTGTTGCAGGGGTCATGTTCCATATCGAGATAGCAAACTTACGCGCATTTTACAGCCTGCTCTCGGTGGAAATGCAAATACAGCTATAATATGCAACATCACCCTTGCACAGGTAAAATTTTGTAAAGTCATTAATTCTACGCTTGATCACCATTTCTAAAAGCATACATCATGAAGTTTTAATTTTTTCTGTAGGAATGAATCATATTAGTACTGAATTACATAATATTTAAGTGATAGGAGATTTTTGTGAGTATTGTTTGCTTCTAGAGCTTTTGCTACATGCTTGCTTGAAACCATGAGGTTGCCCATTTGATTTACTTCAATCTAATTTGTAATTTTGATTTGACCACAGATTCATGCAGATGAAACCAAAAGTAGTCTTCAGTTTGCAAGTAGAGCATTATGTGTCACCAATTGTGCCCGTGTTAATGAGGTTTATCTCTAATTTCTCATTCATTCCTGTTCCATATGTTTCTTTCTGCATCTTTCCTGGGCAATTTTAACGATTCCATATCAGATGTTTCTAAGCCATTTGTATCTAGCATTTTATTGTGTCTTAGAGTAATTTTATTTCATTTTTTTTGGATTACTTAAAACATTAAACTTGCTTGTTCTTCCTTCTAGATATTAACAGATGCTGCTTTGTTAAAGCGTCAAAAGAAAGAAATCGAGGAGCTTCGAGCCAAATTACAGGCAGGCACAATTATTGTGACAATTCAGTTTTTATGCATAATTTCATGATTATTCTTTTTTCCTGGAGGTATATGCTTAGTAGCCATTTTGTACATATTTTAGGCATCTCATTCAGAACACTTGGAGGAAGAGATCCTTAATTTAAGAAACACCTTATTACAGGTATGATGATCTTCAGTCTTTAGATAATTGCTCTTCAGTCTTTACATAATTGCCTTTTAAAGAATGTGATTATTGATTGGAAGTTGCAATACTTATTCTGCAGTCTGAACTGGAAAGGGAACGTATAGCATTGGAGCTGGAGGAGGAAAAAAAAGTCCAAGCAGAGCGTGAGAAAGTGTTGCAAGAGCAAGCTAAGAAAATAAAAAACTTGAGCTCAATGGTTTTGTATTCAAATAGGGATGAGAACCGTGATCATTTGAAAAAGGTTTGTATCATGGTAGATGTATTTCCATTTGTTTTCCTTGTCATACAATATATTCAATTCTTTTACTATCCATTTTGCTTAGGTTGTAAAAATCAATTTAATCATCAGCTTGCTCAATCATGTGTCAGCAAACATATTATGTGTCTTTTTTACTTTACAAGGATGAATTAAAAACTTAGTTTTGATTTTTTCTGATTAGATAAGGTTGCAATAGTTTCAACATGCAACATGAAAACTTGGAAGAAGTAACGTTGTTAGAATTTAGGTAGACAACTTTAGACTTGCAAAGGTTAGAAAATTTTGAAATGATAGTTATATTATTCGTAGAATAACCATGGAGCAAACGTAAATTACAAACATGGTTTGGCAATAAAAGCTATTTAAAAGAATTCTTGCGTGATGATTTTATTTTGAAGTTCTGTTGCCTTGTCCATTGATTTTTATTTTTCTTCTTCTTGTTGAATTTGCAATTACAATCTGGAAGCACTTTAATGTTACTCTAGGTGTTACTTATTTTGATGATATTTTAAGTGATGTGAGTTATTTTTAGGGGATCGCCATATATCTCAAAAATTAAAGTCCATCTCATCCTAGCATGTTTCTGATGGATGCTGTTTATATACTCTATGAGTGTTTTTTTTGGTAGGTAACTGGTAAAAGTGTATCAATATTAGAGAAAATAGAGGTTACAAGACTGGAATAGGTGTCCCCTAGTATAACAGCCACTGCCTGCGAATAGGAACAAAAAGCTAAACTAAAGGATGGAATATAATTTGTATATTCTCAACAAAAAATGAGATAAACCCTCCTGCAAAAAGGCCTGCGCTAACAAAATCACCTGAAGATATTATTATTATTATTATTATTAATATTAATATTATTGTTATTGTTAATGTTAATGTTGTTATTATTATTGTTATTATTATTATTATTATTATATTAAAAAAGAAGGCCAATTCAGTAAAAGCCTTTATCGATAATATTTTATTTTTTCTAACCAAATATCTTAATTATTTATGTTCATTAATCTAACCAAACATATTGGTATAACATTTCCCTGTAATCTTCAAGGTAATCTACCTCGGAGGTAATCTTATATTTTTAGCAATAAAACATTCTCCGAATCAAACGCACTCTTAGAATTACCAATATTAACTTGGATTCTTCACATTGGTGATATTACTATATTTTTAGGATTAGATTCACTGAATCATCTTCTTAATAGTTGATTAAGTTTTTGTTTTCTATTGTAGGAGAAGCGGCGAGATACATGGTGCCCTAGTAATCTTTCAAGGGAGACTTTTCAAGAGGTATCCTTTCTCTTTTGTGCTTCAAGGAACACTAATTGTTTTAGCTTATGTATATTCAAAATAAACTAAATTACATCGTACCTATTTATGTTTTCGCACACGTTATAAGTGATCATTATATTGTTAATTTTAATGGAGACATGGTTAGAAGGTCATGTGGTTGCATATTTATGAGTCTCTAAATTTTAAGAGGTTAATATCTATTTAATTGACTATTTGTTTTCTTGATAAGACTATGAACAATAAAAATACTTGATTTGTGCAACTTTCTTTACAAAAGCACATTTATTAACTAAGCACTTCTGCCAGATTTTTGTGGAACAAACTGCTTAAGGAGTTTAATTTGATTTGGGAAGTTCCTTCTTCTTGTTCCTTGGCTTTGTTAGAGAGACATGTTGCCTTGGGAGGCAGAGAAAAGCTTCTGTGTTGTGAAATTGTGCAGTTATGGCTGTTTTTTTTGGGTTATTTGGTTAGAAAGAAATAGGAGAATTTTTGATGATACAATTGGGGAAGAGATTTGGTCCATGTGGGATAAAGTTTAAATTTTTGGCTTCTCTTTGGGCATCTATGACTTTAGAATTACAAGATGTTTCTTTTTTCTTTATTCAATAGAATTAGGAAGCTTCAATTACTTAGATAGGGAAGACTTTTGTGCAAATTTGATTAGGGATTTTCGATTTTTAGAGCTGATGATTTTGGACTAGGAGAGGTGTTATCATTTTGTTTTGTTCTATGAACCCTACAGCTTGTCCTTTTTGTGTGGACGACTTGCTTATTCTTGTATGCTTATATAATTTTTTTTTTATAGAGAATCTTTGTTTCTTACCCAAAAAAAAAAAAAAAAAAAAAGAAGACTAAGCATTTTTAGTTGCAATGATCCAACTAAAAAACATACCCGACAGAATGTAACTTTCTCTAATGAGAGCCCATGAATTCCATGTCAAGAATATAGACTTGAAGCCATAATATCCAAGTCATTGAGATATTAACCATGAAAGGATTTTACTTGTTGATTACTAAAAGTAACTAAAATGAAGACTGAGTAGATTCCTCCCTTTATAGTAGTTGATCCTCGAAAATCAATTGGGCGAGTTGGTTGGGGAAAGGGTGATTGTGGAGAAAGTAAATCATTAAAGGACCTTGGGTGAGGTTGTGGTAGGGAAGTTGTCGTATTAGTATTGAAAGCATAAAGGACCCTCAAAGTTTAATAGAATATAAGTTCATCCCATGCATCTAAATGATGTGCAACATAACACGTGAGCCCATGCTTATGAAAAATAAATAACAGAAGAATTATGTATATAATTAATAGAGTAATATTGACAATATCTTTTTAAGGCATGACTGTAACAATTACTTCATGTTAACCTGCCTAGTTTTTGTTACGTGTATTATTAAGATTTTCTCACCATGTGTACCATAAGAATTCTAATTCTATTCAGAATAGATGATGATTTAATCTCGTTTATATTTAAGCTAACATTATTATCTTCGAGTTGCATTTTAGGTGTATGCAAATGTCCAACTGAAGGCTTCCCCTGTAAAATCGATGAGATCTGAGCGTGATGTGGGACCATTTCTTCCTTTTGAACAGTTGATAAATGAAACTGAAGTGGTTGATGAGTTAAGCAAACAAGATGAAGATTGCAAAACCAATTCATTGCAATATTGTAATCTTCCTGGTCCACGTGCTTTATTGCATGTAACAAACAGAAGAAAAGTACCACTGAGGAAGCAAAGCACTCCTCTGGTTTGTACTATACCTGTTCTTGCATGCCGTTATATTGAAAGTTTTCTACCCTAACATTTGTTAATCTGTCAGGACAATGAACTGGAGGAACTGCAAGCTGAGTATGAAGATTTGCTTTTGAAATTCGAATCTCAGGTTATTATTTTATTTGTGCTTTTGCTTTGATTAGAGAATGATACACTGTGGAGCCTCCGTCTGTGTGCTGATACTTCTTCATGCAGAGAACTATGAGTGAGATACAAATTGACTACCTAACAAGAAAGCTGGGTGAGGCTGATTTGTCTTTGTCTTGCAACATGAAATTCAATGACCATTCCACACATAATGTTGATAAAGGTACCCTTTATGGGGACAAAAGTGTGAATATAAGGGAGTTGGAGGCTATTCTTGTTATCAAGCAACTTCAAGAGAAGGTCTTTATCATTTTTTGCATTTAATGTTCCTCTTGGATTCTTTTGTTCTTTTCTCCACAATTTGTGTTATTTTATAGTTAATAATTTAGCAGTCATTTTCAAGGTTTTTTCTTGGTAGTAACTTTCTTCTGTATTATGTCTTTATGTTGTAGATTAAATTGTTGGAAATGGAGAAGTCCTCAAGCCAACAAAATCTGGACAGTCTTGTTGAACTAGCCACGGAGCAGAATATATGTGCTAGGGAGAAGTTTGATGAGGTACTCATAATTGAGGACAACCATGCACCTTGTGGTTTTCAAGGCCCTTGAAGAAAGTTTTCTTCTTTTTTTCATTGGAAACACTGAATTTATTCATGAAATCAGAATAAATACAACTAGATGATCCAGCAGTCCATGAAGCAATAAAACCTTTACGTATCTACTGGCTAACAATAGAAACTCTAACAGAATATTATCCCTATTTCTCATTAAGGGAATTTTCTTGAAATTCATTTTTAACTTAAACCTATAAAGATTCTTAAGTTGCACTGTTTCCCATGACAATTGAGCTCTCCCTCCACAACAATCTTTAAAAACTATTCTGTCCTCTCTCTCTCTCTCTCTCCCCCCCCCCTTTTTTTTAATTCCCGCCAAATGATTGTAGAGGAAATGTTTAAAGTTTGACTGAGACGTGTATTTGTTTTGTTATATATATGAACAGGTAATTCTGTCATTTTGAGTTGTTAGTAGCTAGATTAAAAGGGAAATTAGTTAGTGGACTATGTTTCAACACTCACGTAGGTCTTGAGCTATATATACACTGATTTCAATTTATAATGCCACCCTAAGTTTGAAGTTGCAGTCACCATACTATCAAGAGACTTTATGGGATGTCTCTGATCTATATGTATTTGAGATTACACATGTAGTCAGGCATCACAGATCTGCAAATCTTCCCAAACAGAAAATCTCATTTACTAATACCACTTTCCAATGAGAGGAAAGCGTTAGAATATTTGAGAAATAGGATTTGCAAGGACTTCAACTACAACCCCTTACCTTTTTGATGTTATGAACATCATGGAGAGTTTTTTTTTTTCTCCCTATTTCTAAGATTTATTTCCTGATTTTGCTTGTTTAGGCTCAGGGAAGGGATAATGAGTCACTATCTTGTATAGATTTATTCCCCTCATTGGTGTTTGATATTTTTGTGGATCTCTATTCCATTGGTCTACCTCAACCTGTTTTTTAGTATATAGTTTTATTGTTCCTTGATTTTCTTTTCTTGTTTAACTCGGAGTAGAAATTCTCATTTAGTTGGATTTTTGTATCCTAGTTGAGAATGATTTCTTTTTCTACTTAAGACTTCGCCATTACAAAATATGTGCTTTGGTTATTATGCTGTATGTGTGTATGAAAATTGAGTATTTTCGTAATAGCTCCCTAATTTTTTTTTGAATTTCCCCCCTTTCTATATTTCTTTCCCTTAACTCCTCTGTAAGTGTGATCACTCTCTCTTTCATGAAAATGAAATCTTTTATATTCATTTTGTTGCTTTATGCAACCGATAAAGACTTATACTATCTACCTCATCTTATTAATGATTTTTTAATTGCTGTTATGTATTTATTATAGCTTCATGAAGAGCTTCTTAATGCACGGGAAGAGGCTAGGATGGCTCATGAACAGCTTGCTTCAAGTGTGCCAGGGGAAAAAGCTGATGTATGTAACTTCTACTTGGTATTTGTGTTTGTGATTATTCTCTGTTTTGTCATATTGTTCACCTTTTAATTTAGTTGCAGACAATAATTTTATCATTTGTATATATATTCTGTATAAATGTTTCTTCCGTACAAGCTTACAAAACTGATTTTAGGCCTCTCATCATTTTGGCGGGGAATTTTTTCTGTGATATAGCTTTCAATGGAGATCCAAGAAATAATGCCAGAACTGGAAAATGTAAAAGAAGTAGTGGATGTTGTCTCATCACTTGTGGATGATGTTTTCCAGAGTTTGTCTGCCATATACAAGGAGTTCACTGTGAGTACTCTTGAAACATTTCGTAAGCACTATTCCAAAATCTACTGTTTAAGGTTTCAGAACAACAACAATCCATTTGCTTGAAATCCTATGGGCATTAATTTTCCTGTAAAATTTGTATTGAACTACTTTTATGAAAATTGCATACTATGAGCCTCTCAAGATTTAGTTTTACGAAATATATTGCAGGATTTCAAGGCCTTGATGCACCAGATTACTGTTCAGCAGAATTCAGTTATTAGTGACCACGAGAATTTACAATTTTGCCTGAGACACAAAATTTCTGAATTAGAGAGTGAGAAGGTTTGAGCATGAGAAGTTACACCAAGTTACATTATTCCATGAGAAAGAAAACTGGTGATTTTTATATTTATGATCATTATTAGCATAGCTAAAAAACTTGTGCATATGATATACTATCATTTTTCAGCTACTTATGGACAATCAATCTAGTGATTTGCAGAGGCAGATACATGAAGTAAGAATGCAAAAAGTCTGAAGTGTCATTGATGACTAGAATTTTAATTCTTTATTTTTGTGTCAAAATTATATTTATTGGTAAAATACTCTTACATATATGCTTAGTATTGTTGCAGGCACTTTCAGAGCAACAAAATCTGGAAAAATCTAAACTTCTTTCTCATATTCAAACACTTGAAAAGGAACTATCGTGTCTATCATCTTCTTCCTTGGTCAAGGAAAAGGAAAGTTTGAGAAAAGATCTTGAGAAAACGAAAACAAAATTGAAAGAGATTGATTACAAACTTAAGAATGCCATTCAGGAGAAAACCAAATTAGAGGTTTAATCTTTGCTTTTAATATGTTGATTGAATTTAAATTAGTTTAATTAAAACTACTGTTGATGGGCAAAAGTCACTTTTTCAGGGTGAGAAAGCAATTGCTGAACGAGAAATTAAACGATTGCATAGTCAAAGGACTCTTCTTGAGCGAGATATAAGCAAACGTGACTCAGTTGCTAGTAAGAAGCGTGATTCAATTGTTGACCGAGGCTCAAAGGTATTTGATCCAAGAAGGGGAAAGAGTTTTGGTATGCCTTATGAACAAATGCAGGTATGTGTATGGGATTCTTAGTTTCATATATAAGTTGTATGGAAATTATTGTTGCAAATTATGGTTAACTCTGATCGTCGAGGTTGAGAAAATGATAGTTATGGTTTATCACTATGTTGAAATCAAACTTAAACATTTTTCTTTTTCAATTATTGTTTTGCCATCTTCAAAAGCCAAACCATTTTAATAATGATCTCATTGTTGGTATATATCACTACATTGTAAAACTTATAAAACTTTTTCATGACTTAGTAAAAGTATGTTGTCATGTTATGGATTTCTTATTGGTCTTGGATTAAACATTGGTCAAGGTTGAGAGCCTTTTGTGGAGTTTTGGTCTAACTTAACACTCCTTATTTATCTTGACAACTGCAAAAGCTTACCTTAAGGAAAGTATTTTCTTGCCAAAAATTTTATTTTTTACCTAAGCAAAAGCATTACACAAGCCACCAACAAATTATAAAGTCTTTTTTTCAATAAACTTCAAATGGATAGTAGCATCTTTGCTGCACTTCATTTTAAAAATTTTATAGTAGTCTAATTTAAACCTAAATCATGTAAAAGTTGTGATATTCAATTACAGAGAAGGTACTTTGCTTGGTGTTTTAAATCCTATTCTTGAGATAATTATGACAAACAACCTCTAAAATCTCCTTTATCCTAGAAAGAAATGTACGATTTTTCTAATCTTTGGTTGCAAAGAATATTATAGATAGGATATGACATGAGAATCCTCAGCTTAGGCAACAAACTTTCATTCGTTCTTGTCCATCTACGATCTAAGTAAGTGGCTTAACTTCCTTTTTCCTCTCAAGAATGTTTTCACAAACTATGATCACCCTATAATTTCCCCCATTGAGTCAACCGATGCTGAGGTATTATGAAATTATATTGAAATTTGAATTAAAATAGTTTTCGGGGTGTATTGGTGATGGTTGTAGAAGAAGCATCATAATTTTATCTTATGGTAGGCTAACTTAGAAGGAAGTGGAGAATTATGGTCAATATGAGAGGATGAAATTTACATGGAGAGGGAGCAAGGAAGCCTGCTTTACGCAATCGATCAAAACATATAGATAGCCCTTCAACACAAAGTAGGTCGTCAAAATGATCCAGGAGACCCACCAAAGCAAGAAAGCCAAGATCTTTCAGAAAATGGTTGCCATTCCAAGAGTCCATAACCACATGGATAAGCTCACACTAACCTGTCAATTTGGGATCCAATTCACAATTTTCCTGATTTAGTAATAGGGACATGACCTTGGCAATTAAGGTCGACTAAAAACTCTCCTCTGGTGTTGAAGGCTAGGGAGAAATAATAGTGTGTTTTCCAGTGAGGGATCGATTCTACTAGAATCCAAACAAAGAATAATTTTGAAAAATATATTCTTATAGATTACTGAATCAATGTACTAAATATGTTTAAGCTGTACCAAAAAAAGTAGGAAAGGAAGCAATGCTAACAATTCTAGGAAACCACTGATTGTAGAAAGTATTGTAAACCAAATCCCAGCCGATACAGGCCGTATCACAGGGTATGTTGGCTGTATAATCAGACCCTTATATGCATGAATCCTTGAACACTTAGTCCTCATTTTATGATGCTTATGAACCTATAATGCTTTGAACATAACTGGTGGTTTCTTTGACATGCCATGCTACATCAGAACCTATAATTCTCGTTGATGTCTTCGCAACCCTTAAAAGAGTATCCACCTTGCAAATCTTTTAATTATATTTTGTTCTTGTAATTTATAAAATTAGTAGGGAACCAGCAATGTTTAGGAGTAGAGTATTTTCAGTTATGATAATTTTTAATTATTTTTTGAGATTGTCTTGTTTCTGTTGCTTAGGAAGATTACAAAAACTTGGAAGTGCTTGCATTTGAAATGGAGACAACTATTGCTTCTCTAGAGGCGGAATTAGCAGCCAACTCTAGGGAAAGAGTGGAGGATATATCGATAAATGAAAATTTGGCTTCGGAAATGGAAGTTCTGTCTGAAAAGTTCAATAAATCAAATATTGAACCGAATATATTGCAAGAAGAGGTTTCAGGCCTTGTAAGCTTTTCTGTTCATTCTCTTTTGTTTTAGTGGTCTTACCAAATTTTGTTGCTGTCCTAAGTTTGATATTACAGTGTTCCTTTTCTTTTTTTTCCCCCCTAAATTCTTATCATGGCTTATCTTTTTCTATATCCAGAAGCTTAGCTTACAAGAATCTAAATCCAACGAGCAGAAATTGCAAAGCTCTGTGAAGATGTTGGTTGAAGAAAAGGAAGAATTAGCTGTGGTATTCTAGTTGCATTTCTTTCTGCATCTTTTTTTTTTTCTTTCTTTTTTTCCTTTTTTTTTTTCTGTATTTTAATGGTGTAGCATTTTTTATTTGATTTTACCTTTGATTTTGTAGCAACTGATTAATTCCCTTATGGAAATGGAGGAGGAAAAGGCAATATGGTTTGCTAAGGAAAAAGCTTCTATTGAAACCATAGATGAAAAAGTAAAATTACACCAGACAGAGACCAAGTCATTATCAAAAAGAATGTTGGAGGTATGATTCTAAACTTTGTTTCTTAAAAGATCCTCGAGTTGTACATGCATATGTCAGAATGATTCAATTTTAATTCAATTGGAAGTTTATGGTCTTCGTTGATGTCATTGTGTTGTTCAGCATTTTGCTTTCTCCACCAAAAGTTTGTTAAGACTTGTTAGAGCTTATATCTTATCTTTAATAATGAGTTTAACAATATTATGAACCAAAGAGAAATGCAATCTGTAAATATGGGGATATTGTTTTCTCAGTCAAACTCACATGGATTGTGATTTTAAGATTAGTTTTTCTGCAAGCAAATAATATTACTCATGCCATTCTTCTTTTGTTACTAAGAAATGTCTCACCATCAGAGATATTTAAGTTGGCTTTTATTCCTACACTTTCAGCAGCCAATTAGTAACTCTAGCATACAAATTATTTAGCTTAGTCTATTTGTGCATTTAATAAAATATATCACCAATGATGTGCACTACTTCATTAGGTACAACCACATATATGAACCCCTTGTCTCATAGGATTAGTCATTCCTTGCATTAAATCTATGTTAAGTACAGGAATGATAGTGACATTGTTGATAGGACTTTCCGAGATAAGGTTACTGGTCAGTTCATATCATTAATAGGTTTTGTTAATTCTAATCCAATATAATTATATATTTGCAATTTAAGCTTTCTATTTTGATCGAATCCAACATGTGAATATTGAAATTTAATTCAATTGATTAATTTTTTTTATTTTTTTTCTCTCATTTATCACCTAGATTCATTCATACAAATTGTAATAAATGACAAAAATTAGTGAAGAAATGATATGAGAATGCACTACTAAATCATGAATATGAGTCAAGCTTAGTTAATGTCTTTTATCATAACTTAAGGTTTATTTAGTTCTGTTTGACTGTTTCTAGAGATCCAAAGGAAAATCCAACAAAATATTTATAATCATCTAAAGGTGATCAATACCTTGCGTTTAATCTTCAACTAAAATCAATAAATTTAGGAGTATAACTGTGGGGATTAACTCTTAAGAGGCTAAAGTGATGACCTTTGCTACACATTTTAGCTTGTTGGTGGGAAATTAGCCATTTAATACTTGGGCCTTTCTTTGGGAGATAATCCCGGATCTTCTTGCTTTTTGGATTCGTAATGAAGCAAAATGAAGGAAGATTAGAGGGGTGGAAAAAAGTTTTTCTTCCACAAGGTGGGATACTAACTTTAATTCATTTTTTGTTATTGACTCTTCCCATATAAGATTATGGAATTTGGAAGCTTTGGGCAGTTATTGTTATAAATTCTTTAAAGGGTTCCCATTAATGACTTTAATTCTTTCAAGATGATATAGAACACTAAGTCAAAGTCTTATTGTCAGCTTTAGCAGGCAAAATGAATATGAAAAAAAATATTCTTCGATGTGCGTTTCTCCTTCTTCTTGTGTAGTCAGTAAAAAAGGGTGGATACTGTAAATAATCTCTTCTTTCATTGTTCTATGGCTTCAAAATTATGGGCTAGAGTTTGTAAAGAATCTAAGATATCATGGACTGTTCCAAGTTCTTGCAATTTCTCACTTATGGAGAATTTTTTTGCTTCTTGTGAAGGAATGATAGCTAAATGTCTTTGGATGTGTCGTTATAGCTCTTCGTTGGGTTATATGGTATGAAAGAAATAATCATATTTTTCGCAAGAAATGAGACAATAACAATGAGACTTTATGGGATAGAGTTAGACATTTTGCTTCCAATAGGCTTCAGTTTGAAAGGAATTTGTTGATATATTCTTCTTTCTGAGAAATATCTCCACTAATTATTATTTTAAATTTTTTCTGTAATTTAGCCTAGGTTTGTGCCATCTTGTGTACGAATCTGATGTACTTTTCCAGAAGCAATAAGTGAAACTAGAAGTTCCATTTTGTTAGGTATTGTGGTCTACATTGTGGTCCATGATCCGCAGATGACGCAATTGTAAAACACCATATAATCAAGCTTTTGATGTCCTAGTAATTGGCCCTCCTTTACATAATTTTGCATGTGTCACAACTACTAGACATTACATAATCAGGCATTTGAATGTCATTCTAATCGTTTGTTGATGATGTCACCAATTAGTTTAAGCAATGTTGTTGACAGGACAATCCTCTCTGCTGGTATATATAGGATTAGGATTGGTGTTGTCCACAACTTCAAGACACTACAAAATTGGACAATTTTACTTTTATGCAAAAACAATGTTTATAAAAGCATAGGTATTTTGTCTTCTCTTCTGGTATTTTGCTTTTGAATTTTTTGTATTCCAAAAAAATTGATTAGAGCTTGAATCAAAGTATTTTTTTCAATTGGCTTACTAACAATCTGCAATTTTCTAAAAGCTTAAATGGTTGGGAGATAAAACTTCCATGTAAAGTTAAAAATTCTTTATTGGTGTTCAGCTACGGGAGGGTTGGTAATCATCACATATTGTACAAACATAATTTGCCGAAGGCTCATATGTCCCCTATTTGATAAGTTGTTTGAAAAGAACAATTCTGGGAGTTTTACTGTCTGTTTCTTCATTGTCTTGTGGTTTTAAGTTTGTAATTAAACCACTCAAACTAACTAGAATTTGCTGGATTATTTTAGGAACTTGCTTGTAATCAGTGATTGAGGATCATCTTGCTTTTGGTTGAGATAAAATAGTGTTGAAATGCAAATGGTAGAAAATATTTTATTTACCTTAATAGTTAAGTAATATTTAGTTTACTCTTCTAGGAGATTCTAGGAATCATTAGAATATTTTACTTACCTTATTTTATAGTTTATTTTAGTATCAATAGACAATGTTGATTCAATTATAATCAATTCAATCATATTGAATTTACTAAATTATCTCCTTAAGTCTCCTTTGCTTACCTTTTGCTCGTCACCGCTCATAATTCCGACAAAAAGCTTTGGTTTTATGACGATACTTTATTTTAATGTTTTTGGTTGTTTTGTTTAAGAATAATGGAAGAATATTTAATGCGCCAGTGATAATGGGGTTGATTTCTATTTTCTCTAATATTTATAATTTTTTTTGGGTTTAAAAAAAAAATTTGTTAGGTTTGATTTCTTTAGGGGTAAACTATGTTTCTTAATTTATAGGTCAGGTTCTAAGCAGTTTGAATACACTTTTTCCTTATTCATAGAGACTGAGACTTTGTAGTCTTTTATCAATAACAAAATTGGTTTCTTTTTAAATCTTAGCTACCACTTTTCATTCTCTTTACATTTACACAGTGAAGTTCCGGTTTGAAGTGCTGAAAATCCTCCAATTAGTGTCTAATAATTTGATGGTGAATTATATTGAAATTTCAGGTGGAGAATGAACTAGAATCCTCTAGAGAAGAATGTGAGGTCCTCAGGGCACGATTGATGTGTTTAGAGCAAGATATAAAATTTGAGAAGAAATGCAGGTTTGTTCTACTAACCCTTATCCAAGCCTGAGCCCTGATGAAGTAAGAAAACTGTAGTTATGGACATTCGTATTTGTGCTCAGCATCTGATCATGAAAATCACCATCTTTATTTTGTTGCTGGATTTAATTTGTAATTTTAGTTTGGATGTCATGTTCATGAGCCAACTCTAATGATAAATTGTCTTCTGTTGCAGTTTGGAGAAATCTATAGATATAGATAAACTGAGAAATGAGCTAAAATTAGCTGAACACAAGAGTAACCAACTTGAGCAAGTATGTTATATTGGGATATAAGTATTCTTACATTTAGTAACTCAGCAAAATTTCAAAATAGTATGTCATGTATTGTAATTTTCATTTCTCCCTCAGATGTTGAAGTCGAAGTTGGAGATGCTCGCTTTGGATTTCCAGCATGCTCAGGAGAAGGTGAATAAGGGTCACAATGTAAGTTTGTGAACTTTGTGTTTATTTGGTGCAATGATAATTCACTAATTCTCATGTTGGATGTGTTTCTTCATTGGAGTCATTCCATTCCGTTTGCTAATTGCTAGTTTTTCGTAATCCGATGAAGTATGCTATCTATACTGATTAAACATTGCAACTATTGGATGAAGAGATGTTGCAAATGCAAATTTCATGAATTTCTCTGGTGTTTATTACGACAAAAGTTTATCGGGGTGCCTTACAGGATGAAGTTAGCAATAACATTGAAAGGGCAAAGCTTAGAATGAGGCTGAAATGGACACAAGCGCATTTAGATGCCTTACGTCGAAGATACAGGGAAGCAGTGCAGGAATCTGAAAACATGAACAAGCAGTTTGAGGAGGCTTCAGCAAACCTTAAGGAGCGTTTGGCTTTGAAAGGAATTGAAGTTCTCAACCTTAAGAAGCAGCTAGCTGCTGCAATGGGTCAATAAATTCTAACTTTTACTGCCTTTGTACATGTAAACTAACTAATGTATAATACTGTAATTCGTAGCTCAAATTAATACAATTTAGTTGTCTTACTTACCCACCAATTTCAATGTGATATTTTGTTCACTGCTCTATTGAGTTCTCATCCTACATATTCAGCCTGAGCTTTGGCGAAGCTGATTTACACATTAAAATATATTACAGACATTGTTTTAAAAACTGGACCACTCGTTGACCTGGTCAAGGGGTCGGTTCACGGGTTGTGGACCGGTCGGTCTGACATGTATATAGCAATCACATCTTTAAACAATTCTAGTAATTGTTATAAGTTTAAAAACCAGCAAATATATCCCTAAAATTTACTTATAAACCCTTATAAATTTAAAATAAAGCAATTGCCCTGGTAGATTTTATTATTAATTATTTATTTCTCTCTTTCCATCACTTATTTCTTTCTCCTTTTTTCTCTCTTTCCATCACTTTCTTCTTTCTCCTTTTTTTTCTCTCTCTCCCATCACTTCTGGTCACTTTCTTCTTTTCTCTCTACAATAAAATTTACCTATAAACTCTTATAAGTTTAAAATAAAGCAAATACACCGGTAGATTTTATTATTAATTATTTATTTCTCTCTTCCTATTACTTCCATCTTTCTCATTTTTTCTCTCTCCCTATCAGGCCATCACTCCTCATCACTTTCTTCTTTCTCCTTTTTTCTCTCTTCTTCTCTTCCTCTTCATCTCTTTTCTTGCTTCTAATCTTCTTCCTTACTCTTTCTCTTGTCTCCTCTTCTATTTCTTCTTCATTCCCCTCCCCTTACTTCTTCTTTACACTGTAGATTTTAGAGTAAGTAAAGAAGAATAGAAGATAAAAATAGAAGATGCAATTTGGTTTTTTTATTCAAATGAAATGGAGAATGACAAGGTGTTGCAAAGTGCAAATTTGTTTAGAAATATGAATTTTTTAAGATCAGATACCCAAAAATAGTGAACCGTTTTAAGCCCCCGGCCGGTCGGACCGACGATTTTGTATTGTTCCACCGTCCAAAGCGTGTTTAATGACATTTCCGGTTTTTATGTTAATCCGGACCGGAGTAAAGGCTGGCTCCCGGTTGAACTGGTCAGACCGACCGGTCCAGTATGGGTTTTAAAACAGAGATTACAGAACAAAATGAAATCAACACTGATTTCTCTTCAGTAATAATTTTCACATTTTTAAGGAAATACAATGTGTCTAAAAAATTCCAATTAAAGAATTATTTCAATACATTTGGAGCACTATTAATCAAACACAAACCCATGTGACAGTTGAGTTGTCAAATTAATCGACTTATTTCATCATCTTATAATTACAGAGATTTGTCAAATAAATTGTCATATAGATACAAATTTTGGATTTCAATTTTGTATGTGTAGCATTATTATAATTAAATTTACGAAATTATTTATTTTTAAGGGTATTTTAGTTTAGAAGACTGGATTTGGCCATAGAGTTTTTGTATTATTTTGTTCTCTTCTGGACCTTTGGAAACTTATTTGGTTACCTCCGACATGTTATACTATGACTAAAGTGGAGAAGCCAAAGTTTTGTGAACCCTTAGCAAATCTCAAAGTACTTGCAGGCACTGTTTTAAAAGCCGGACCGGACTGGTCGATCCAACCGGTTGGACCGTGAACCGGTCACGTGTTCGGTTCAAGTCAGCATAAAACCCGCTATTGTGTAATAAACCGCTTTAACCTGTCATTGGACCGTGTAAACAGTGCTGGATCGCCGGTTCAACCGGACCGCAAGAAAAACTGGCCCAATCTGAAAAATGAAAAAACCCTAAATTTCTCACTTTCTCCCTTTGCGATACGCATTTCTTCTTCCTCAGTTCCTCTATGCGCAAAAAACTCTGAAAAAATTGAATGAAATCAAGAAAATATGAAAAATATCACAAATCAAAACTCAATCTTGCTGAAATCGCAACCATCCCTTGCTGAAATCACAACCATTCGTTGTTGAAATCGATCGCAACTCCAGTTTCTGAAATCGTGATGACGCGTTCCTCCCTTTCTGGAAATCTATGACGTGTTCCTACCTCGCCGCAAATCGACGCATGAAGGCTGATTGGCATGCATGTCTTGACAATCCAATTTGATTCAAGGTGAGTTGTAATCTTCGGGAACTTTGCTGTGAAATCTGAAATGTGTGCTTTCTCTTTGTCCTTTTTTAATAGAGAGTAAGTTTGACTGTTTGAGCTACAATTTATTAACAGAATTCGCACCCCATTATCCGGGCAGTACTGGATATTTTATTATACAATTTTTAAGCAACCGTTTGTTTGGTGCTGTTGCTGTTTGGGTGGAAGTGATGTATGGAGATTATTTTTGGCATGGAATTCTTTCTGACTTTGTTTGGTGCTGTTGGTGTTTGGGTGGAAGTGATGTATGGGAAGTATATATTACAATCTTAGTACTCTCAAATTACCCTTTCTGAATGATGCGTTGCAGATAGTGGATTGTTTGTGAATTTTGGTGACATTTTGCCATATGGATTCAATCATTTGAAGGCGTGTCTTCGGATGTCCTTCAAGCTCTGTGATTTCCAAACTTATGAATTATTTTTGCCTTGGTTGTCATATAATTTTATTTGTATTAATAAGAGGCATTTTCAGAATAGAATTCAAGCCATTGTATAACTTTTATATGCAAATAAAAAGATCTACTTTATGTTTATTTTATCATTTTTGCTTTTGTTTTGAAATAGTGTGAATCCAGATTTTGAAATTTTACTCATCCCTTTTATCATTTGGAAGCCATAAACTGTCCATGCTTTAGTGTAAAGAATTGGGGACAATGTACAATCCCAGTTTGTAGCCATTACACAAACTTATTTATGTGGGTGTTGTAAATATTTTAATCTTGTAGTAGTTGTAATACAAATAAAGTTTCAACAAGCCAGTTGTAATGGTTGGGAGGCCAGCTTTTAATTACTCAACTTACTGGAAGAGGAATTCGAAATGTTAGGTTAGCACTTAGTAAATAACAGTATGATTTTAAAATGTGCTGATGTCATCATGATGCGTGATGACGTCACCGGTCCAATCGACGGTCTAATCGACGACCGACCAGCAAAGCAGGTTGCTCTCCGGTCTGGTTTTAAAACAATGCTTGCAGGGTATTCTTCAAACATAAAAACTTTGTCTCAATAGATAATTTAAAGATTTATGGTTTGAAATCTAATGACTGTCATGTACTTATGCAACAATTGTTACCGTTAGCCATTAAATTTCTTTTGCCCAAGAATGTGAGACATGCTATCATTAGGTTAGACGGAGCAATTCTAGGTAGAGGTCATTAAACCACACATCAAACACTCTGTTTTAAAACCCGGACAAGACCGGTCGGTCCGGCCGGTTCAACCGGGAGCTAGCCTTTACTTCGGTCTAGGTTAACATAAAACTGGAAATGTTATTAAACTCGTTTTGGACTGGTAATGGATCGGTGGAACAGTACAAAACCGTTGGTCCGACCAGCCCGAGGCTTAAAACCGTTTGCTATTTTTGGGTATCTAATCCAAAAAAATTCATATTCCTAATTCCTAAACCAATTTGCAGCACCGTTTCATTCTTCATTTCATTTGAATAAAAAAACCAAATTGTATCTTCCATTTTCATCTTCAATTTTTCTTCACTTACTCTAAAATCTACTGGTAAAGAAGAAGAAGTAAGGGGAGGGGAAGGAAGAAGAAAGAGAAGAGAAGACAAGAGAAAGAGTAAGGAAGAAGATTAGAAGAAAGAAAAGAGGAGATGAAGAGAAAGAGAAGGAAGAAGAAAGAGAAGAGTAGAGAACAATTACAGTAGAGGAAGAAGAAAGAGAGAAAGAGAAGAAAGAGACGAAGAAGAAAGAGGAAGAAGAAAGAGACGAAGAAGAAAGTGACAGGGAGTGATGGGGAAAGAGAGAGAACAAAGGAGAAAGAAGAAAGTGATGGGGAGTGATAGCCTGATAGGAGAGAGAAAAAAAGGAGAAAGATGGAAGTGATGGGGAGAGAGAAAACAATAATTCATAATAAAATCTGAGGGTGCATTTGGTTTATAGGTAAATTTTAGGGATATATTTACTGGTTTTCAAACTTATAATAATTAATGGAATTGTTTAAAGATGTGACTGCTATATACCGGTCAGACGGATTGGACCGGTCAACCCGTGAATCGGCCCCTTGACCGGGTCAACAAACGGTCTAGTTTTTAAAACAATGATCAAACGTGTCAAAATGAAACAATTGTAAAGCTACACAACAGAATACGAAGGGATAAAATGTATCTATATAATTATTATTAATAGACATCCAATATGTCAAGATAGAACAATTAATACAAAGCTAACGTGCCAAGATGCAACAATTTTAGGGAGGTCATTAAACCACATATCCAAAATATCAATTCAACCTGTCAAGATGGACAATTCTAATACACAAAATGAGTTTTACATGTCAATCAACCAAGGGTGTGGTTCGGCTTTATATAAATATATATATTGTAAGAAATATAAACTAGTACGGACTAAAAGCAGTAAAACATTATGGGGCTAAAAGGTAGTTGAGGTATGCACAACAAATATCATACGATATTTTCTTGTGTTTTAATTTTTAAATAGGAACACGTTGGAATTTCTTGTTTAATAAGGGGTATTCCCTGCAATTCACTCTAAGTTGGTNAATAACACATATGGGGTCGATTCTTGCTTTTTAGTATGTAATTAGTAAATAGTAAGTTATGGGCTATATATAACTCGAACGTTAAATTTTATCAATTCTCTGGAGCCAGATTTGTATCTATATGAATCGATATTATTTCATTCCAGTTCCTCTCCAATACCTCGCAAGGAAAATCTCAAATTGGATCCCAAATTGACCCCCCTTTTTTTTTTTTTTTTGGTGACTGGAGGTATCCAAGTCAGCTTACGTATACTTCAACTAATCCTTCGAGACCCTGAAGTTGACAACCGGATTAGCCCTTCAATGACTACCCCTATCAGTGTCTGTAGGGATTCGAACTCAGGAGCTCATGAAACCTCATTTTGCTCTTTTACCATCAGATTACCTAGTGGTGGTTCAATTGAAGAG